TCTATTCCAAGATTTTTTCCAAGAACCTCAAATCTTTAATCCCTCCTAACTCCATCATACTTTGATTTTAAGATAACTTAAGCTTTCATTAAGCTTAGTTATCATCTAATAATCAAAAACCAATCTTAAATTTAACCAAAAACCCAATAATCAGAAAACTCACCTTTGACACTTAGTTTTCACGCGTGAAAGAAGAAGAAATATGAAGAGAACTCTGGAACTTCTTTTCTCTCTTCCCACATGATTTCATAATCTTATAAGGGAAAATAAAAATATTCCTTATCAAATGACCATTTTGCCCTTTACTTAATATAATAATTACTAATAACTTTTATGATTTATTTCCAAATAAATCATTGAACTAATTCATTATTCTAATCTAATCACCAAATTCTGAAACTTTACAATTTGATCACTAACCCGGTATTGAGGATGTTACAGTGTTCTTGCGATTGAGATTGATTTTCAGAAGCTAACCATTCATTAAAGTTTCCTGAAGTGGCAGACTCACTTTCTCTAGGTGAAATCCCTCCTGAGACCTCCTGCACAGCACCAGACAGACTATCAACAGTTTCCATAGCCTCTGTTACTGCTCTTTAACTGCTGTACATCAGTCACAATCTCCAGATCACCTGATTCTAATTTGGCTACCTCATCCGCACTTGTAGACGGTTTATTAGATAGCCCTTCAAACGGGAATACAGTCTCATTAAAGACTACATGTCTGGAGATATAGATCCTCCCATTCGACGCAAGGCACAAGTAGCCTTTGTATTGTGAACTATACCCCAAGAAGGTACATGTTTGAGACCGAAACTCAAGTTTGTGAGTTTGAAAAGGCCTCAAATGAGGAAAGCATTTACAACCAAACACTTTCATCAAATTATAGTCTGGTTTCTTACCAAGCAGCTTCTCATAGGGAGACACACCATCTAACACTTTCGTTGGCAACCGGTTAATGGAATACACAACAGTCATGGCAGCATAAAACCAGTATTGCACAAGCATAGAAGCTTGTGTTAATAACACGAAGGCCAATTCCACGATGTGTCTGTACTTCCTCTCTACAATTCCATTTTGCTCAGAAGTGTGTGGACATGAAAGTCTATGCTCAATCCCTTCTTGTAGCAAGACCCGAGATAAACTCCTGTACTCTCATCCCCAATCACTTTGGATTGATTTGATTACAACACCAAATTGATTCAGCACTAGCTTCTAAAATAACCGAAACACCAAGACAACTTGAGCTTTGTTTTGCAGAAAGTAAATCCATGTATGTCTCGAGTAAACATCAACAAATGTTAAATAATATTTAAAACCTTTGGACGCAACATGTGCTGGTCCCCAAAGATCAGTCAACACTAATTCAAAAGGTTGTTTATAAACAGTGGTAGAAGGAGGAAATGGCAGCTTGTGACTTTTTCCAACACAACAAGCATCACATGTTTCATTTATATTGGAGGGAAAAGATACATCAACTGCTTTACATGCTTTTATTACATTATTATAACTGGCATGCGCTAATCTCCTATGCCAAAGGTGATACAAGCTAGAACTACTACCATTAGCAACATTAATTCAGGCTTTATCACAAGCACTTGATGAGCCAGCCCCCGAAAACACATACAGATCATCTTTCACTTTCCTTGTCAGCAACACCTCACCCGTAGAGCTATCCCGAACTTGACATCCATGCGCATGGAATTCAAAGTACACCTTATTATCCCTAGCACACTTTAAAACCGAGAGCAAATTGTTTGTTACACCAGGTACATAAAAGAGATCATTCAAAAGTAACTGTCGAGATGATGATGACAAAACAACACTACCAATCATATTAACTCCTAACGACATTTCATTACCCACAACAAGCTTACCTGGGCCAGAGTGCTCAGCTCGTTGAGTGACATTCTTAGATTCGGGTGTAACATGATGTGTAGCACCCAAATCAACCACCCATTGATTCAAACCAGTTGCTAATTCAGCACGAGCAGAGGATGATTCATCTACCTGAGCTACTCCACGCATCTTAGAGTGATAGCAATCACAGTTCGAGTTTTCCACAGCAGTGAAGTTTATATTTGTTGCTTCCTGCTTAGCTCGAAATTGACTTGTATCAACATCTACACTAGTGAAGGTTTCACCAAACCTATGCCAGAACCGATTGACAAGGTGTCCAACATTGCCACAAAGTTGACACTGTACACGTGGTCGTCCTCGACCACGCCTTGCCGAACGGCCACCAGACTGAAACCTGTATGTTGAATTGCGATTGACACCACCAACATTATTCATCGTGCCATGAGCAACATGAGCATTTGCAATGACATTTTCTTCTTGGTCAATAAACCCAGCCAATTGGGTTTCAGCATCAACTAACATGGTGTACACTCTATCAAGAGGAAGAGACACACTACTGGACGTTATAACCGCCATGAATGGTTGATAATCTCTTGGTAATCCTTTAAGGATGTTGGTAATGTGTTCTATAACAGGAACTGGACTGCCATAGGATGCCAAGGCATCGCATACTTCCTTAACTCGGGTAAGGTAAACCCTCTTGCTATCCTCCCCCTTTCGAAGAGACTGTAACTTGTAGTGTAAGTTCATAACCGACGTCGTGGATCGATTAGCAAAGAACTACAAGACAGTACTCCATACTGCAGTAGTTGTTTCTGCACCAACGAACTGAGGTAGCAGATGGGCGTTAATGGTGGACAAAAGCCAGGAGGCCACATCACTGTCTTGAGCGACAAAGTCACCATAAGCCTCTTTAGCAACTCACACACCATGTTCATTAGTGACCATCACCGGTGGAGCTCGCATCGTACCAGTCAACAGCCTTTCAAGACGATGACTCCTCAAGGTAAGAAGAACTTGTTGCTTCCATAGCAAAAAATTTGTCTCATCAAGAACCACATTCACTTTCTTCTTTGTGAACACTTTACAACTCCTTGATGCAATCCTTAGCCAAAGAACAAAGACCTTCACGCAAACACCAACACCAGCTACGCAGTAGCAACTTCACCAGGATGAATGGCGATTGATACCATGTAAGGAAGCACATTATATTGCAAGAAAACGTATTACTCTTGTATATTAACACATGCACTTAAGCCAAGTTTATATAGGTACACATACAACAATAACTGCTCATAACAGATTGTAAACAAACTCTAAACAACCTCCTAACTAGCAAACATATTCTAAACCACCTGCTAACTATTCTTCAACTTCCTCAACTGCACAACCACCTACACTGATAATACACACTATACTCTTTAGAAGTTTAAATGGATATCTATAAAACTAATTTGACTTAATAAGTAGTGGCTTGGAGAAAAATAAAATAAAGAAAAAGTTAAATATAATTTATCTTACTTTGTTTTATAATTTTCGTTTTCTAAAAGGTCATGTATGTAATTTTATCATTTTGGATAGGACACCTACCAAGTTCCCTAGTTTTGCCCATGGTGCTGAGAAGGGACGGGCACCTGAATTTGATAGGTTTTGACCTAATCCTATCTAATTGAGTCAATTTTAAAAAAAAAATTAATTCGGATCGAGTTGAATTTTTTAGAGGTTACGTTTGGCTCGGGATGAGTTTGGATTTAGAGTGAAAAAATATCCTACTCGACCCAAAAAAATAAAATTTTATCTTATCTATTTAGGGATAATTGCAATAATACTCATCTATATATTATTGAATAAAAATAATATTTATTAATAAATATATTATTTTGGGTCGGGTCGGATCGAATTCGAGTTTTATCTCAAGGGTCGGGTTCGAATTGGGTAAAGGGTGTATATTTTTCGGGTCGGATCGGATTAACCGAAAGCCCGACCCAACCCGATCCCTGCCCATCCTATTGCTAAGTTAGATAATGCATAGTTTTCTTTTTGCTCCAGGACATTAAATACTAAAAGTTTGAATACTAAAGAAGAAGAATACAAGAGGAATCACGAATGCATTCCTAGTGTAGGTCACCAATCCTCTAAAATAGTAGATGTTTCTGTTCCCATATATGCGACTACTCTATTACAATCTCTCTAGTACTCCATTATCCTTTCAAGCAATTAAGAGAAATCAATAATGGAGATTATTAGTATTGTCTTGCGCATGCAATTATGCCCTTGATTCCCAGACCCCTTGCGCAGATTCTAGAAAATAGTAACTCAACACTCACCAATCTTTCAAAATTCCCCAAAATTTAGCTTGGTCCCCTTTGACAAGAAATAATTCAATGTCATTATGCATCCCAAGTAGCATGATTTCATGGCTGGAATCACGAAAATAGGTCCACTATATATATGGGTAATATTGACAGACAAATTGAGCTCTACAGTCTAGTCCTTTATAGCAGAACAACGATACCATATGTTTCGTCTCGCCCCTTTCATGATACACATATAATTCAAATCGTCCCCATTCAACAATTCGCTAACCTTAAATTCTAAGAATCCTATGTTACTCGGACTCAAGCGTAGTAGCAGACACATGTGTCTAATACTTGAGTTTTTCCATGCATTTGGAGAGCTACATTTCCCTATCTATGTCCAGAAATATGTCTGAAACGGGTGCTGGACACAACTACATTTGAAAATGAAGATTTGGAGCAACCAATCATTATCATGCATGCCATTATGATTCTCCTTATCCCCACTTGCGTCAACGGCCCCTCTCTCCAAGTCTTCTGCAATTATATTACATTTCCTGCAGCGTGGCTGCATGCACATTTCTCTTACATATTTCAACACCATTATAAATTCTAATACTTTAAATACATCATGACAAAAAGCTTAAACGATTCAGTTATATCAAACTAAAAGAATTGGGATTCAATCCCAACTTTCAGCATAGTGAAAGGGCCAAAACCATTGTTTTACCATTATTATTCATTTAGAACGAATAATGAACAAAAAATTTGCTATTATTCCAAAACGTCATAGGACTATGTTCATTGCATGCATTTTGCTATAATTACCAGCCAAAGACAGAACATGGATCAGAACGAGTAAGCACTGTATTAAAGAAGAAAAGAAACACACCCAAAGTTTAAACTTAATTTGTAACATATGGACAACCATATCATTAGCCTCTTAATAAACTCCAATCTTCTAGTTGATCTTTCTGCAATCCAGCCTGACCTCTCCATTGGTACCAGTCAAGGGGCTTATGTTTCCCATCTTTATCATGGCCTTAGCAAAGCTAGTAAAGAACTGGCTTTGGCTTCTTGCGAACCTGTTGACAATGGCCACAGTCTCAGCCCCATTAGTGGAGAACAGCTCTTGATCTGATTGAAGGAGTCCCATGCGGTTCTGAAGGTTCAAAAAGTACTTGTTGTCAAAGCTAAGAGAAGTTTGTTCGTCAAGATCGATCAAACTCGTGACATCTCCGCCTTTAGGACATCGTTGTTGAAGTGCTTTCGCGTACGTGGCGTTGAGGGTCGGGTCGACTTTGCCGGATACGTTATTGAAATTGTAGAGGCGGTCCATGAAAGCAGCGCATTGTGCCCTTCCAAATGTGTGAACACCTGAGAAGTAACCAGTATGAAAAAATCGTATTGACCCAAATTTTGATCCGATGTAACTTTATTGGTGGAAGAATTACCAGACAAAGCAACAAGATCGGTGGAATCAAGTCCAACGCTCTTGAATCTGGCTGCAGTATTGGCAAGGTTGTCATGTTGAGATGGGATGCCTCCGATTCCATCACGGTGTGCCGTCCGACTATCCCTTCTTCCTAGTGGGACTTGCCATGATGGACCTCTACCCTGCAGACCAAACATTCGCTTTAACATTATTGTTCTACTACTAACTTGGAAGTAATACAAAAGATTTGAAGCATTAATTGGTAATGGAAAATAATACCAAGGTAACAGAAATTTGAGCAGCAAGGGCCAAAATATCGGCACAGGAGACAACACGAGGACAAGCTTTCTCTAACGCTGTTTTGATATCATCGATAACTGCATATCCATCGGTTGAAAGGTTGGGGGTGGCAGTTTTTTCACTGTCCGTACCATTCAGCAATAGTGAAGCATCGCAACCCTGCATGCGTACGTATATTAATGTTAGTGGCTATAGGTATGTATACGTACGTTTCGGTATCAATGAGGAGCAAAAATTGTTGTTACATTAACGAAACAATCATGAAATTGAAGGCGAACAATCTTTGGAAATATCCAAATGTCATTTCCTTCAGCTTGTTGCAGCACACTACGAACAATACTGGAAACATTTGGGCAGGTTTTGGCATAGAAAGTGGGACTAAGTTGAGCATGGGATCCCCCGAGCATCGTTGCGGCAGCTAGCAGAAAAAGAGTGGTAATCATTTGAAACCCACACATTTCTTTTTCTTCGACGAGTTAATGATTTTGAATGGAAAATGAGATACTGAAGAGACCCTATAGAAGATCCCTTATATAGAGGGATTGCCAAAGCTGGGGTTTGCAACTTGCAGATTTGAGCATTATCTTCAAGGGGATTGACTTTCAGTGTGAATCACTTATTATTATTATTATTCTTTCATCTGTTCATCAATAATGCAGACGCGTTATTCTGATCTAATTTTGGATGCTTGACTTACAAATGAACTGCACATCCTTTTATCAATAATCCTAGATTCTTTTTATACTGTCCAATCATGTTTGTCAATTAATTATAGTTCCAACCTGGAAGCCATTAGTATCAAGTATTCAAATACATTCTAATTCGATGCACGTTGTTTTAGCTAGGCATGCAGCGTAATGCCATGTGATAATGCATCAATATTTTTATGCCGCATTAAACCAAAAGCTACATGAGTTTATCGGTAGCTGTGCATACATATCAAATTGCTTGCATTATTCTTTGAGATGCAGTTAACCCATTCAAATAAATTATAAACAATGTTTCATTACCATGGTTTCTAATCATTATTTTTTTATAAATTCTAAATTTAATCCTAATCTTATTTAGAGTGAGAGAAAAAATAGATTTAATCCTAATATTATTTAGAGGGAGAGAAAAAATAGATTTTAGATTAAAAAAGAGGAATGCTCCTAATGAATTTAGAACCCATAACATAAGAAAATATAAAAGAACAAAAATAATAACTTGATCATCGACTAAATATATTATTATTTTTTGTACTCGAAGAAATTTTAAAGTTTTATATCGCAAAATCATGGTTGGCTAAGCTAAAAGTGATGTATATATTTCACTATAAATATTAAGACATTGATGTTGTATCTAATATTGACCTCATTAAAACTCTTAATACAGATAAATATAATGAATAAATTATTAATAAGTCAAAGATATGAATGTGTTTATAATTGATAAATAAATATAAATTCATAATATAATCAATAGGGTTAATTCAAGTGATAAACAATTTGATATCATTTAAGTATATCTTGAGTTTGTATCCTTATATATGTAAAAATATCTCCGTTATTACTTGAGAGACTCATCTGCTAAAATTAAATGTACAATACATATCAATTTAAATTAATCATAACAAAATCTCAAAGAACGGAAAGACAACCAAAAGAATATATATATATATATATATATATCTCGCGTTCTTACGTTTTTTTAATAAATAAAACGACAAACTTGGGTGGGGGGTTTATATAAAAAAAATTGCACTCAACCAATATTATAATTGAATGTTTGAGAAAGTGTAAGACTTGGACCATATTAAGATTCCATAACCGCACTCCTTAATATCACCTCGATCCATCCCTACATGTATTATATGTAAACAAGGTTACCTAATCTTTTAGATCAAACCAAAAATATTATTATAACATATTATTTTAAACACCGCCATATGTACTTGTGTGTGTGTATATATATATATATTCGAGAAAATAACCTCAGTGACCAAAAATATCTTATAATATATGATTTTAACCAACTTTTTTTGGATTTGCGAAAATGACCAACAAATTCGCAACGCGAACTCCTATTTCGCAACCCAGTTTCCAAATTCGCAACGCGAATTTGTAAATCGCAATGCGAATTTATAAATCGCAACACAGAAGTCAAATTCGCAACACAAAAATCAATTTCGCAACACTGAATTTCAAATTCGCAACTGAATTTCAAATTCGCAACTCGATTTTTGATTTCGCAACACAAATGTTTTGGGTATATAACTACGCAGCAGCAACAACTCATAACCTAAATCCTTAAATCGCAACTCATTCCATCTCCATCTATCACTCTCTCCGGCGACATCCGTTCCTATATCCAACGATATCCTTCCCCATCTCTAATTTTTTTTACATAATTTTATTTCTATACAATTTTTCAATGATTTCTCTCCCAAATTATCAATTATTAACTTAATAAAGGTATGTTTTTTCTCTAAGTTAGTGCTGATATCTAGTTTATAGCTCGTTTGTTTAGTAAATTAATTTACAATTTGTAAAATGAAATCATTTAATGTTGATCATGTTTGGATAGATTTGTGTTTTGGAGGGTCATGGGAGAATGTTCATGGTGTTTTACAATATGTGTCTTTACCCATGAATCTTCAACTAAAACTGTCATTAAAAAAGTTAACTTATAAAACTCTAATGTTACGTGCTGCAAAGAAATTGAATTTAGAGCCTCTAAGTGGATTTAGGCTATCTTATCAGAAAAGAGGTAAAGTTTATTTGTTAACCGACAATGAAGATGTTGAACGATTCATTGCTTACATTAGTGTTTCGCAAGATGATGTTACATTGTATGTTGTTGAACCTAGAAGTAGTGAAGTTGGGTCAGTAGCGGGTAGCAATCAACTCAGTTCTTCAACCCCAGTTTATAGTGCTCACAATGTGCAACGTTGTTATCAACCTCAAAATTTAATGGTTCCACCACAATTTCATCTCCAATAAAATTTTGTTTCACCACATTTCCAATACCAAACACAATCTCAAAACCCACAACCTTTTACTAATCCAAATCCCAATCAACTTTCAGCACCAAATTTCGGTTTTCGTATTGACCAGTTAGACGATTATGAGCCAACAGAAAAAATTGTGAGTACTAGTCAGTATTCGAAATTTGATCTTGGTCAATTCCCGGACTTTAATCTTGGTCAATACTCGAATTTTGATGATGTTTCAGAAGAAGAAACAAACCTGCATGTAATGATTTTGATATTGGTCAATACCTGAATTTTGATGATGAAACAGCCGCTGCCGAGGAAGATGTTGTTGATGATAATGAGGAGGAAGTTACGACTGTGAATTAACATGTGAACATACATTCTGTAATTCATATAACCCTGAAGAAGAAGAAAAAGAAGAAGAAGTCCCGAAGAAAAGAAAAAAAAGAAAATGCCACGTGAGTATAATTGGAATATGCCAGAATTACTTCAGATACCGGAAGAAGAGTTGGTAAAGATAGCAATTGATTGTTATACAAAAGTTATTCGTATCAAGAAAGATGATTGTTTTGATACAAAGGAAGACTTGAAGATAGCTTTGTATACGAAATGTGTGGAAGATGGCTATCAACTAAAAGTTAACAAATCAAGCAAAGATCGTTTCGAAACAAAGTGTATGATTGACAAAAACTGTACGTGGCGTATGATTGTAAAGAGGATAAAAGATTATGAAATGTTTCAAGTTAGGACTTTTATTGATAAACATACATGTTCAAGAACCCAAATTTTTCCTCACCATAGACATGCAAACAAAAAGATGTTGGGTGGTTTTCTGGCTGAGTTAATGTTTATGAATGTCAGAGTATATCGAGGACATAAAATTATGACTGACATGAAAGCTCGTTTCAAGATCAATATCTCATATTCTCAAGCTTGGAGAGCCAAATGTTATGCCTTGGACTTGTTGAGGGGGTCTCCAGAAGCATCGTTTGCCCAACTGTCAGCTTATTGTCACAATTTAAAGCTGAAAAATCCTAGGTCGGTAACTCATATCAAAACAGATAGAGATGGACGCTTTGAGTTGATGTTTATCGCCATTGGTGCTGCGATTAATAAATCAATATAATTTTGTTGACTCATTTTTGTTAGTTACATGCATTTCACATTTAAATGATTATATTTCTTGTGTATATTATTTTGTAGATTCGTTCGTTTATTACTTGCATGCGCCCAGTTATTATAGTTGACGGAGCACATTTGAAAGGTCGATACCTTGGAGTAAACTTATTAGCAGTGGCCATGGATGCTAACAATGGGATACTGACGATAGCTTACGGGGTTGGCAAATCTGAAACCTCTAATTTATAGACATGGTTTATGGGGCATCTTAGGGATTACATACGTCATATTAGCAATCTGACAATCATATCCGATAGGGAAAACTCAATTGACAACGCTGTTAGAAGGTGTTTCCCAGATGCTTTTCATGGACTTTGTGTGTGTTCATTTGTATAGAAATCTAAAATCAAGGCCGGCTGATATAAAAAAGGACAAATGGACATACTGGAAAGCTGTAAAAGCTTATCGGGAAGTGGATTTTAATAAGCATATAAATTGTTTAAGACGTGTTTTGCCTTAATGTGCTCAAACACTAGAAGATGTCAGGTTTGAAAGATGGTCAAGAGTACATCAACTTGGAGCAATATATGGTTTCATGACGTCTAATAGTGCAGAATCAATCAACGCTCTAAGTCGTCATTCCCAGAAATTACCCATTACTATGTTAATAGAGTTTTTTCGAGCCTCTATTCAACAGTGGTATTACAAGAAAAGAAACCATGCATGTATTATTTCTTTAAATTCGTAACTTATCATATATTTTACTAAGTATTGTTTATTTAAATTTATAGGAACATTGGAACGTCGTGTTACACCATGGACTGAAAAAAAGATCACTAAACATGTTGTGAAGTCAATGTCATGGAGAGTTAAACCATGTTCAAACACTTTGTTTGAAGTATTGGATAATAACTTAAATGGGCTTGTCGATCTAAATGCAAAAACGTGTAGTTATATGAAATGGCAAACATTTGATTATCCGTGTGGCCATGTTATAAAAGTTGCTATTCATCTAAACCAAGATGATTCTAGCGCATACGCTATGGATTGCTACACTACAGAAGTATATCGACAGACTTATGCCGAGATTGTCTACCCTATTCCACATCATTCTGAGTGGGATATACCGAATGACTTACAAACAGTTTTGCCACCAGTCATGGACAGCAAGCTACCTGGCCGACCAAAAAATCATACCGTCTAAGGGTGAAGAGAAGAGGATATCGACATGTAGTCGGTGCAAGGAAAGTGGTCATACAAGGTTGACCTGTAGATCACCAGTTCCATCACAATCATCTTTTCCTCTACCAAAATATGATCCTTATCAAAATCCAAAGCTCATATGGTGCCAAGCAAAAGGAAATCAAAATCGCAATCAAAATTAAAATCCCAATCACAACCGGC